TCTGGGGGTGGGGGGGAGTGGGCGGAGGGCCAGAAGAGGTCAATGGGGGTGGGGTGGGGGGACAACATATGTAATATTTTCAACAAAAAATACTTTTAAAAAATAAATAAATAAAATAAAAAAGTAATTTATTTCTCTTCTCACATTAAATCTAAAAACATAGGCAGAGCTTAATATTTACAACTATTTTAATAGAATTATATGTGAGAAGTTATTAAAAATTAGTTTACTGAATTAATAAGTAGTTGGTTTCTTACCACAGATTTTACATTCAACAGGAAGCTCACAATACTTTGCCCGACACTGTGGGCAGAAATAGCCTCCTAATGTAAGTCCTGGCTCAGTATTGCTATCCAAATGCCTGTGGGGAGAAAAACATTACCTTAAAAACATGATATATAAAGATGTGAAAAGTTAGAGCAAAAGAAAGTATGCTACCTTGATTTTAAAATCTTGAAGTTGTTTCATAGCTCACTTATGTTCATTTTGGGTTTTTTCCTGTCTGCATTTTTTTTTAATTAAATCTTTATTGTTCAGATTATTACAGTTGTTCTTCTTTTTTCCCCCCATAGCTCTCCTCCACCCAGTCCCCACCCCACCCTCTGCCCTTACCCCTCCACTGTCCTCATCCATAGGCGTACGATTTTTGTCCATCTCTTCCTGCACACCCACACCCCTATCCCCCCAGGAATTGTCAGTCCACTCCCTTTCTATGCCCCTGATTCTATTATATTCACCAGTTTACTCTGTTCATCAGATTTTTTATTCACTTATTTTTAGATTGACTTGTTGATAGATATGTACTTGCTGTTCATAATTTTTATCTTTGCCTTTTTCTTCTTCCTCTTCTTAAAGAATACCTTTCAGCATTTCATATAATGCTGGTTTGGTGGTGATGAACTCTTAGCTTTTCCTTATCTGTGAAGCTCTTAATATGACCTTCAATTCTGAATGATAGCTTTGCTGGGTAGACTAATCTTGGTTGTAGGTTCTTGGTATTCATCACTTTGAATATTTCTTGCCACTCTCTTCTGGCCTGCAAAGTTTCTGTTGAGAAATCAGCTGACAGTCATGTGGGCGCTCCCTTGTAAGTAACTAACTACAT